AGTCAAAAATCTACTGGAACTAATTGAGAGATTTAGCATAGTGGCAGCATGCAAGATCAACATCCAAAAATCAGTTGAAGTCCTGTATACCAGCAAAGAGATTGCTGAAAAAGAAATAAGGAATTCAATACCATTTACAATAGCTACCAAAAAAATAAAATACTTGGGAATAAGTCTTACCAGGGATACCAAAGACCAGTACAAAGAAAACTATAAAAGACTACTTCAAGAAATCATAAAAGATCTACATAAATGGAAGAACATACCATGCTTGTGGATAAGAAGATTGAAAATTGTGAAAATGCCAATTCTACCCAAAGCAATCTGTGCATTCAGTGCAATTCCAATCCAGATCCCATCAACATTCTTTAAGGATATGGAAAAACCAATCATTAACTTTATATGGAAAGGAAAGAGACCTTACATAAGCAAAGCACTCCTGAAGAGAAAACAACAAGGTAGGAGGTCACACTGCTGGATCTCAAAACCTACTATACGGCCACAGTAGTCAAAACTGCCTGGTATTGGTAAAATGACAGACACATAGACCAATGGAATAGAATTGAGAACCCAGAAATAGATCCATCGACCTGTGGTCAGCTGATCTTTGACAAAGGGCTAAAATCCATTAAGTGGGGAAAAGAATGTCTGTTTAACAAATGGTGCTGGCAAAACTAGATATCCATTTGCAGAAAAATGAAATAAGATCTGTACCTCTCACCATACACAAAAACTAACTTCAGATGCATCAAAGACTTAAGTGTGAAACCTAAAACTCTAAAGTTCCTCATGGAAAAACTAGGGGCAAATTTTTTTGTTGTTGTTGTTTGCCGTTGAGTTGGCCCCGACTCCTAGCGACCCCTCCTTGGGTTTCCGAGGAAGTATCACTGTGGAAGTAGGATTGCCCAACCTTCCTTCCTTCTGGTGGGTTTGAACCGCCAGCCTTCTGGTGAGCAGTCAAGTGCCTTAGGCACTATGCTACCAGAGCTCCCAGGGGCAAATTTAGGAGCCCTCATATATGATATAAATAAACTATCAAGCACAACCCAAAATGCACAAACAACAGAAGAGAAACTAGATGATTGGGACCTTCTCAAAATTAAATTTTTATGTGCTTCCAAAGACTTCTCCAAAGGAGTCAAAAGAGAACCTACAGATTGGGAAAAAATATACGGCAATGACATATCTGACAAGGTACTTATCTCTAGAATTTATAGAAAACTCTAACACCTCAACAACAAAAAGACAAATAATCCAATTAAAAACTGGGCAGAAGACATGAATAG